CACAGACTCTTCTGGCAAGTGGAGCGTTGCTGTCTGCTCCTGTTCAGAAATAATTAACTCATTCAGTAAAAACAAAGCACTATAAGATTCTTGGGCTCTGCTCATAGCTAACTTTTTTCTTTAACTCCTTGTGCCACGTTCAGCTGTTACATTACTTTGCTATTTTTTCACCTCAATCTGACTTGAATGGTAATTAGTTAAAGTGAATACATTCCGTAATAGAGTGAGATAAATAATATATACCTAATAAGCCAACAACATAAATTACCAAACAGCACCATTTTTAAGGCATCAAATTATCGGAACACACCCACACCCACCAACGCCCATGCATGCAAGCACACACACACAAAGCAACTGATAAATGTACTATTCGTACCAGCTTTGTAGTATCGATGCCAGACATGGACATTCCCAGAAAAACATAAATGCAGAATGACAACATGTCAGATGAGACGTTTTAGTCACAGATAAGAAACAGAGTCACAGATAAGAAACAGAGTCACAGATAAGAAACAGAGTATCTGCTTTGAGCGCTAGAGGTTCCGGGTTCAATCACCGGTAAGAGCTGGGATTTTTTTTTCCACATGAACTTGGACTTCTAGTAATTCCCCCTGGTCTCTGGGTAGTGGGATCAGACGCCCGTGTGCATTGATGTGCATGTAAAAAAATCCCTTTGCAGTTGGAAATCGAAAAGAATAGTCTAACGGTGCTGCCTGGGCAAAATTTGGAGTTTAACATCTACCCAAAGTATTTAAGGATCCTCACCGGTGCTACAGAGCCTGTGCACTGTGCTGAGCTTCTTTGGACAGACTTGAGTTAGAAGAAGGAGCATTCATGGGTTACTACCCGTGTGCCATGATGTTGATGCATTGTTCAAACCTCAACCTTAAACCCATATGATAACAATCATGATGATGATGCTGACCAAAACGACAATTACAATGATGGTGATGATGATGATGAGCCCATACCTTCTCTAATTTCAACATAATCAATGGTGCATAAATGGTTTGATATGATAATGAAGACAACGATGTTGATAATCATGACAATGATGATGATGATGTTGATAACGACGATGCTGATGAGCATTTACCTTCTCTAATTTCAACATAATCAAACAGACAAGTCGCATGATGTTCCACAGACAGGTCCCGGAAAGACAGCCTGATGGAGTTGTTGGCTGTAGGGCTCCTGAAGTGCCAGATGCACTGGAGGCTGTGAGCGTAGGTGTTGTTGTCATAGCCAGGGGAGGTAATGTTGCCGGAACTCTCGGTGACCAAACCTCCACATTCTGTTAGGAAAATTGTAGAGGACACATCTGACACATTGTTCTTGTTGGTATGGGTCACTGTTGCTGTTTGTGGGTTTTTGTTTTTCTTTTATGCAACAGATTTGTTGCTGTTGTTAGCTGAGGTATGTTTGTGTGTGTGTTTGTGTAGTGGTTGCTATTGTTGTTTGCTGTTGCTGTTTCTGAATTTGTTATTGTTGTTGCTGCAACAGATGTTTTTGTGTTGTAAGCTCTGATGTACCATATTTCATAATTATAAAACAATCCCATGTATAAGACAGGAAATTTTAGAAAATGATTAATAAGATTGCATAAAGCTTTTGAACTCATGTTTAATCCATCATATAATCTAGATGCTCACATTTCACTGGAAATTAGATATAACAGAGGGATTTCACCTTTTGTTATTTTCAACGCTATAAACATTTTATATTCTGCATTGTGAAGAGCCAGCCTGTTCTATTTCCCACGTGGTCAGTGGCTAGTACTGTGTTGCATTGTGCTTTCACTCTTCTCAATATCACAAAGGTGTCAGTTGGCGACTTAACCTTCTCTATGAATTTCATTCAAATGTCATATTGGTGAGTGACAAGTAGAATAGCATAGCTTTTCTGTAAGGCCGCACCTCCCCCTCCTACCCCCTTTACTCCAGAGGGATATTTTCATGGCCCGCCTTAAAATGTCACTAATTTTCATAACAGTGACGGTTGCAGAAGAGAGAGGGTTAGGAGAGAAAAACAAAAACTAGTTGAAGCCTTGCTTCCGAACAAGGAGAAAAAAAACATCGGTCAATGTCGCCTGCCAATGAAAGAGACCTCCACAGATTTGTGTTGGGCCTCAAATGAATGGGAAACCCTTTTGCACTTTGTGCATATAGACAGAGGAGGTGAAGAAACAGATATATCCTAACACCCCTACAACACAGTACAGCCCTGGAGATAGGCCACGCTATAAATGAGAGTTGACGCAAAATCTCGACCCAAGGAGATTTGGGCATTTTCTGGGTATCTACCAATCCAGAAAACTCCTTCATGTCAAAACTCTGATCCATATGATACACCTTTAGCTTGTTCGCATCAGTGTGTGACTAATTGGTTGTCATATATTATATCTCATCAGTGTCTGACTAATTGGTTGTCATATATTATATCTCATCAGTGTCTGACTAATTGGTTGTCATATATTATATCTCATCAGTGTGTGACTAATCGGTTGTCATATATTATATCTCGTCAGTGTGTAACTAATCGGTTGTCATTTATTATATCTCATCAGTGTGTAACTAATCGGTTGTCATATATTATATCTCATCAGTGTCTGACTAATCGGTTGTCATATATTATATCTCATCAGTGTGTGACTAATCGGTTGTCATATATTATATCTCATCAGTGTGTGACTAATCGGTTGTCATATATTATATCTCATCAGTGTCTGACTAATCAGTTGTCATATATTATATCTCGTCAGTGTGTAACTAATCGGTTGTCATATATTATATCTCATCAGTGTGTGACTAATCGGTTGTCATATATTATATCTTATCAGTGTGTGACTAATTGGTTGTCATATATTATATCTCGTCAGTGTGTGACTAATCGGTTGTCATTTATTATAACTCGTCAGTGTGTGACTAATCGGTTGTCATATATTATATCTCGTCAGTGTGTGACTAATCGGTTGTCATATATTATATCTCGTCAGTGTGTGACTAATCGGTTGTCATTTATTATAACTCATCAGTGTGTGACTAATTGGTTGTCATATATTATATCTCGTCAGTGTGTGACTAATTGGTTGTCATATATTATATCTCGATAGTGTGTGACTAATTGGTTGTCATATATTATATCTCATCAGTGTGTGACTAATCGGTTGTCATATATTATATCTCATCAGTGTGTGACTAATCGGTTGTTATATAATATATCTCGTCAGTGTGTGACTAATTGGTTGTCATATGTTATATCTCGTCAGTGTGTGACTAATCAGTTGTCATATATTATATCTCGTCAGTGTGTGACTAATCGGTTGTCATATAATATATCTCGTCAGTGTGTGACTAATTGGTTGTCATATATTATATCTCGTCAGTGTGTGACTAATTGGTTGTCATATATTATATCTCATCAGTGTGTGACTAATCGGTTGTCATATATTATATCTCATCAGTGTGTGACTAATCAGTTGTCATATATTATATCTCATCAGTGTCTGACTAATCGGTTGTCATATATTATATCTCATCAGTGTGTGACTAATTGGTTGTCATATATTATATCTCATCAGCGTCTGACTAATCGGTTGTCATATATTATATCTCATCAGTGTCTGACTAATTGGTTGTCATATATTATATTTCATCAGTGTGTAACTAATTGGTTGTCATATATTATATCTCATCAGTGTGTAACTAATTGGTTGTCATATATTATATCTCATCAGTGTGTGACTAATTGGTTGTCATATATTATATCTCATCAGTGTGTGACTAATTGGTTGTCATATATCTCGTCAGTGTGTGACTAATAGGTTGTCATATATTATATCTCATCAGTGTGTGACTAATCGGTTGTCATATATTATATTTCATCAGTGTGTAACTAATTGGTTGTCATATATTATATCTCATCAGTGTGTAACTAATTGGTTGTCATATATTATATCTCATCAGTGTGTGACTAATCGGTTGTCAAATATTATATCTCATCAGTGTCTGACTAATCGGTTGTCATATATTATATTTCATCAGTGTGTGACTAAGCGGTTGTCATATATTATATTTCATCAGTGTGTGACTAATCGGTTGTCATATATTATATTTCATCAGTGTCTGACTAATTGGTTGTCATATATTATATTTCATCAGTGTGTGACTAATCGGTTGTCATATATTATATTTCATCAGTGTGTAACTAATTAGTTGTCATATATTATATCTCATCAGTGTGTAACTAATTGGTTGTCATATATTTTATCTCATCAGTGTGTGACTAATCGGTAGTCATATAAAATATCTCATCAGTGTGTGACTAATCGGTAGTCATATAATATATCTCATCAGTGTGTGACTAATCGGTTGTCATATATTATATCTCATCAGTGTGTAACTAATTGGTTGTCATATATTATATCTCATCAGTGTGTAACTAATTGGTTGTCATATATTATATCTCATCAGTGTGTGACTAATCGGTAGTCATATAAAATATCTCATCAGTGTGTGACTAATCTGTCGTCATATAATATATCTCATCAGTGAGTGACTAATTGGTTGTCATATATTATATCTCATCAGTGTGTAACTAATTAGTTGTCATATATTATATCTCATCAGTGTGTGACTAATCGGTAGTCATATAATATATCTCATCAGTGTGTGACTAATCCGTTGTCATATATTATATCTCATCAGTGTGTGACTAATCGATTGTCATATATTATATCTCATCAGTATCTAATTGGTCATCATATATTATATCTCATCAGTGTTTGACTAATCGGTCGTCATATATTATATCTTATCAGTGTCTGACTAATCGGTCATCATATATTATATCTCATCAGTGTCTGACTAATCTGTTTTTTTATATTGCTTCATCCTTAGTTCCATCTGGGGCATTTCAAATGCCCAGGATCTTTTCACCCAGATACAAACTTCTACAGTTTGTTTCTTCACACTATGTCAAATTTATCCCCAGAATACGGAAACCTCCATTGCTTACAGATCCATCAGTGCGGAACAAAATCTTCATCATATTACCTGAAGATTCCACAGGTTGTGTTGGGATTATCTCACCACAGAATCGACCCAGCGAAGGGGAATTTCGATAGTACCCATTGAAAACCTACACCAACAGAAGGACATTTTTGAGCTGCATTAATGTTAAGTGCTTGGTCAATTCATAAACTGAATGTGGTCATTATTTTCACAACAAAGTTTGTCTCATCCCAACATTGGTCCCAATTCAAACATAGGTCAGAATTCTTCTTCTTCTTCTTCTTCTTCTCTCCTTCCTTCTTCTTCTTCTTCTTCTTCTTCTTCTTCTTCTTCTTCTTCTTCTTCTTCTTCTTCTTCTTCTTCTTCTTTTCTTCTTCCTTCTTCTTCTTCTTCTTCTTCTTCTTCTTCTTCTTCTTCTTCTTCTTCTTCTTCTTCTTCTTCTTCTGCTTCTTCTTCTTCTTCTTCTTCTTCTTCTTTTTCTTCTTCTTTTTCTTCTTCTTCTTCTTCTTCTTCTTCTTCTTCTTCTTCTTCTTCTTCTTCTTCTTCTTCTTCTTCTTCTTCTTCTTCTTCTTCTTCTTCTTCTTCTTCTTTTTCTTCTTCTTCTTCTTCCTCTTCTTCTTCTTCTTCTTCTTCTTCTTCTTCTTCTTCTTCTTCTTCTTCTTCTTCTTCTTCTTCTTCTTCTTCTTCCTTCTTCTTCTTCTTCTTTTTCTTCTTCTTCTTCTTCTTCTTCTTCTTCTTCTTCTTCTTCTTCTTCTTCTTCTTCTTCTTCTTCTTCTTCTTCTTCTTCTTCTTCTTCTTCTTCTTCTTCCTCCTATTCCTCCTCCTCTTCTTCTTCTTCTTCTTTTTCTTCCTCCTATTCCTCCTCCTCCTCTTCTTCTTCTTCTTCTCCGTGTTCAACAGCTGTAAATTCTGGTGAAAAGTCCTGGGTGTTCATTCACCACTGAATTTTAGTCTTGTTCCAGAATTCAAACATTGGGTGCACACCTGTTTCACAAATCTGGCATATTTGTACGCAGACTTGTATTTCCTTGCCTCTCAGGCAGATGTACTCTGACTTCAAATGATGTCTCCAGTTAGCTGACTTCTACAACAGGCTTGTTGATGAGACAGTGGATCTATTCTTGTGTCCCCCACAGTGGGGAAAGATAGCTAAAGAAAAGCATTTAACCACCATAGAACTGGAGCACAGCAAGCAAGGGAAAGACCAGGCAAAACACAGAATGACAGCATCAAGAACAGCTTTAAAAAAAAATATAAAGATGAACTTACACAACACATTAGAAAGAATTCAAAGAAGATCCTTATTTCTCCTTGCATTGATGCTTCAGTGGAGATGCCAGAGGGAGAGAAGAAGCACGAGTAAGGGAAAACTGGAGTGCATTATGAAAATTTCAAGCTGAAGAGAGATAGAGAGAGATGTTGGATGGTCTGGCAACATGGCATGGAAAAACATTTGTGTCCAAAATTGGCTGACCATTCATGGACAGTAGGTTGTGGACAGGCAGGATTACCATCACAACATGGACAGTAGGTTGTGGACAGGCAGGATTACCATCACAACATGGACAGTAGGTTGTGGACAGGCAGGATTTCCATCACAACATGGACTGTAAGTTGTGGACAGGCAGGATTACCATCACAACATGGACTGTAAGTTGTGGACAGGTAGAATTACCATCACAACATGGACTGTAAGTTGTGGACAGGCAGGATTACCATCACAACACGGTCTGTAAGTTGTGGACAGGCAGGATTACCATCACAACATGGACTGTAAGTTGTGGACAGGCAGGATTACCATCACAACATGGACTGTAGGTTGTGGACAGGCAGGATTACCATCACAACATGGACAGTAAGTTGTGGACAGGCAGGATTACCATCACAACATGGACAGTAAGTTGTGGACAGGCAGGATTACCATCACAACATGGACAGTAGGTTGTGGACAGGCAGGATTACCATCACAACACGGACAGTAGGTTGTGGACAGGCAGGATTACCATCACAACACGGACAGTAGGTTGTGGACAGGCATGATTACCATCACAACATGGACTGTAAGTTGTGGACAGGCAGAATTACCATCACAACACGGACAGTAGGTTGTGGACAGGCAGGATTACCATCACAACACGGACAGTAGGTTGTGGACAGGCAGGATTACCATCACAACACGGGCAGTAGGTTGTGGACAGGCAGGATTACCATCACAACATGGACTGTAGGTTGTGGACAGGCAGGATTACCATTACAAAATGGACAGTAGGTTTTGAACAGGCAGGATTACCATCACAACATGGACAGTAGGTTGTGGACAGGCAGGATTACCCTCACAACATGGACAGTAGGTTGTGAACAGGCAGGATTACCATTAGAACATGGACAGTAGGTTGTGGACAGGCAGGATTACCATCACAACATGGACAGTAGGTTGTGGACAGGCAGGATTACCATCACAACATGGACAGTAGGTTGTGGACAGGCAGGATTACCATCACAACATGGACAGTAGGTTGTGGACAGGCAGGATTACCATCACAACATGGACAGTAGGTTGTGGACAGGCAGGATTACCATCACAACATGGACAGTAAGTTGTAGACAGGCAGGATTACCATCACAACATGGAAGGAACTTGAAATTGAAGGTGAAGTTGATTCAGTTCTAAAGCTGCAGACTTGTTTAAAAATAATTTACTAAAACAGAAATAATTTTACAAACAAGTAACAAAGTTATAAATATTTTTTCACAAACAAGTATCTTACTTCTATATAATCCCAAGAACAGTATCTCCAGGAAGGTCTCTCCAAACGCAAATCGTTAAATGTTAGAGTAACTCTCCTGCCCAAAGGCACAGTTATTTCCCATGTACACAACCGTCTATGAGGGTACTGATTGGGATAATTGGGGGATGTGATTACACCAGTTGGCGTGTTCAACTGTCCACCGCATTCTGTAAGAATCATGAAAGAATTATGTGATTGTCTCTATAATAGTTTACCATTTAATATTCAGTGCAGCACAAATAAGACCTAACCTGAAATCAAGCTTTAGTAGGATTTTTAATGATGTTTGTAAATAAGTCCTACGCCAAATACAAACCTTAGTTAAGATCTTCAGGCACACAGACTCTGCTCATCTGTTGAAACATAAAATGAATGTGTTATTCTTCTTCTAAGCGTTGATCAGCTTTCATTTCCAGCAGACAGTTCTGGTTGTTTGTCCACTACTGGACTTTGGCCTTGATCAAGAATTGAGTTTTGCATGCTCTTCCTTTTGGGGGGAGGGGGAGGATGTGCCTTATTTGTACGCAGACTGCTGGTTCTTTGCCTTTTAGGCAGATGCAGTCAGACTTTGAAAAAACTTTCCCCTAATAAGCTGCATCTCACAACATGCTTGCTAGGGGCCAGTTAGTCTATTCTTGTTCTCCAAAGCAGAGCCCCAGAACATTAACATGGAACTAAAGTACTCTACTGTAAATTAATGAATTTAAAAACCAAACAAACAAAAAAGTTAAAACTGATATGATTTTAAAATAAATGTAGATTTTTGCACATGGACAATTAAAACATCCCCTGAAAAAAGTCCTAATGTGTCTTAAGCAGCAAAAATTAATCTGAGACTCCTGTCTGATTTTTGTGGAAACACAGCATTTGTCTAGATTTTACATTTATTCTTTTTTTAAACAAAGAAGACACAAACAATAGACTACATAATTTATTGCCTGGCATATTTTGCTGCATCTCATCAGATGCATAATACAATAAATTGTGTGGTCTATTCTTTGTGTTTTCTTTGTTCTAATTCACAACGGGGAAACATTGCATTGATTTATTCTTCTGCATTCATCTAAAGATGTAATTGTGTTGTGCATGTTTTCAGCATGACTGTGATACTTGCCCCCTTTTTGGCCAACACATCCAATTTCTACAGGCATTTGTTGACCGAGTTAACCTTCCCCGGATTTTACATTTTAGACATTACTATTTCCTCCTCCTCCTCCTTCTTCTTCTTCTTCTTCTTTTTCTTCTTCTTCTTCTTCTTCTTCTTCTTCTTCTTCTTCTTCTTCTTCTTCTTCTTCTTCTTCTTCTTCTTCTTCTTCTTCTTCTTCTGTTTGTTATTATTATTATTATCATTAACATTATTCAAGGTGACTTGTAAGCTATGTATGGAGACAATAAAATGTTACCTACCTTCAGCACTGGCTTGGAAAACAAGCCGGAAACCAGAACTGGTCACAGATCCATCAGATCTGAATCTAATGTAAGCCGTACTATCTGAAGTCTCAAAGGAATGCAAAAATGCAAAACTGCAATCTCGGAATATAACTGTGTCGGTTGCATTTCTATCTCGGATCTCCAGGAAGTCAGCTGTGCAATTTGTCGTCGACTGGATACGGAAATCTGTTATGTTGATCCTCAGGAAATGACCAACTGGGCCAACAATGGTCCACTCACAGTCAAGGTTGTTGCCATAGTTTGCAGGGTAGTTTGGACTTGTGATAACCCCATTGGCTGCTGTGATACGACCCCCACAGGTTGCTGGGTAAAGGAAGTAGTTTCAATTAATTTATTGCCGAGCTGCTAGATCTGGTAACTAAAAAATACACAAGGAAATTAAATAAGTAGGTTAAGGACTCTTTTCCCAATAAAGGTAAATCGGGCACATAGTCCTAGCCAATCGGCACTCAGTGGGTGAAATGGTCAATATCATGCCAACCAGGCAAAAGGAAACAGTTTATAAAAACTGTACTGCTTCACCAGCAAATTTGAGGAATGTAATAATCATCATGAAATAGTTTTTCCTAATGCACTGTTTAGCTGAAATATTTTGTATTCCAAAGTTTTTTTGTTTTAAAGTGTGTTGGTTCGTTCGATAACCAAAGTCATGTTATTTGAAACCCTTTGAGACTTACATAAATATAGTGTTTATAATAAAGTGTGTTGGTTTGTTTGATAACCAAAGTCATGTTATTTGAAACCCTTTGAGACTTACATAAATATAGTGTTTATAATAAAGTGTGTTGGTTTGTTTGATAACCAAAGTCATGTTATTTGAAACCCTTTGAGACTTACATAAATATAGTGTTTATAATAAAGTGTGTTGGTTTGTTTGATAACCAAAGTCATGTTATTTGAAACCCTTTGAGACTTACATAAATATAGTATTTATAATAAAGTGGAAATAATAATAATGGTTTAGAACAGTGTCAATTCTCAGAATGAGAGAAGAGGGAGAGAGAAAAGGTGAAAGGAGGATAGGGAAGGAGAGAGGATGACAGATATAGAGTGACAGAACAGAAAGAGGTGCAAATGGGGTGGGGGAGGGGGTATAAAAAAAGAGGAATGATAGAGAGAGAGAGAGAGAGAGAGAGAGAGAGAGAGAGAGAGAGAGAGAGAGAGAGAGAGAGAGAGAGAGAGAGAGAGGGAAAGAGAGAGAATACAATTTTACTCAGAACCTAAATTTTTTTTTTTTTTTATGTTCAAGAAAATTTTAAGAAAATGATAAATAGTTGGGCAGTCAGGCAGGAAAAAGACAGTCTGGCTTGTAGAGAGAGAGAGAGAGAGAGAGAGAGAGAGAGAGAGAGAGAGAGAGAGAGAGAGAGAGAGAGAGAGAGAGAGAGAGAGAGAAGACTGACTGACTGACTGACTTTCTACCCCACCAGGACATCACACAAGCGACAAACACCCGATGACACAAAGTGTCACCATGTGGATGAGGATCGCTGTGGAGAGGTCCCAGAAACTGCGTTCAGACATTTGGCCATATGTATGGCCTGCCTATATTGCGGCCCCTGGCAGAAGCCAGAGTAGGGCTTCAAATGACAAAAAATTTTGTACTAAAAAGAATGAACCTGAGAATACTACTTAAGAGAGAGAAGAGAGAGAGAGAATACACTTAAAACCAGTACAGGAACACCTATGTTGAGACATAATTACAGCATACCACTCAAATAATGTGCTTCTTTATTTCTTATTGTACTAGGGTGGAGAAGCCCTAAGTACCTAGATAAAAATAAGGAAAAATAGTTCATTAGGTGGGGACTAGAAACAAGAATATTCTAGTCCAGACACGAGATCTTCTGTGTAAAGTCTAATAAGCCAGGTAACAGATAAACTACATACACTAACCACAAGCCCTAATCTGAAGCAAAACAACTAGAACTATAATTATCACATTCACATCTATTTATTTCACTGAACATCATCTAAGGTCTTCACAAATATTAATGCATTACAATTCACAACGTGTTAGAAAATACCCTACAACAGATGGAACCTATCTTTCTGCCTACACACCTCAACCCACGTTGCGTAAAACCATTGAACACAACGGACAAATCAGAACTACATGTTTCTCGTCCTAAAACCAGTGGCATCAGAGAGCGAAAATGGTCACTCCCGTCTGTTTTATCACTTCCTGACCCCCAAGTTGGCCAGGTTTTTAGCTCGCTTAAATAAGCCTAATTCAATTTATATAACAGTCATCCAGCGCCTGTTTCATTATTTTACCACCTTTGGTCTCACTTTTCTACCAGTGCTGACTATAGATACTGGTAGTGTTATAAAGTTTGTCCATGTTCTTTTTGGTTTCCTTCAAGCTCCACATCTCCCCCTTCTTTGGTTACCAACCTTGTATGGTAAAGCATAACAGGGTAATTATTTGAAGTGTTCAAACCATATCTGCTCTTTGCATATAATTTACAGACTGGTTCTATACCTTGTGTTCTCTCTTATGACCCTGTTCTTTATTGTGTCTCTTAAAGTCACTTCTGCAGCCTTTCAGATATTTTATTTCAGTTATTATAAATTTTCAGTTTTGAAATGTCAGGAGTGACCATATCTGGCACTATCTTTCATTAACTGTTTTTAATGTTTCTAGCAAATCACAGACATGAAAACCCAACAGCCTTCCTTAACTCTTTGAGTCCCAGTGAGCTTAGCATCACAGGTCCAGGGGGTAGTAATGAGAGTCATAAAATCGGCACTTCTAGGTTGGAACCTTTGAACGTAGGATGCGTTTCTTGGGACTCAAAGAGTTTAATGTTGCCACTGATATAAAAGTTCAAATTCTCATTGACCTACCAGTGGAACACTTAGCCTTGAACCCTTGGTGAGGAACGCTGTTATCAGTGCGAAATCTGGCAAACAGGACATTGCCTGTAGAAACAACTGTACCAGGAAGGGTAGTCCCACAAAGGCGGCTTCCAATTCTGGGAGAATTAGTTGTGCCACCATCATGGAATTCAACATAATCATAATTACACCTGGGAACATAAATAAAAAAAATAAAATGATTATGTTTTCCACTGAGGGACCCAGTTTTAGTCAATTTAAAAATAGCAGAAATTTGAGTTTTAAATGTCAGTACCCAGAAAAGTGTTTCTATGAAAAATATTACAGCATATTTATTCATGTAAGCTATGCTATCATGATTAAGGTCACTATATATTTTGTCATTCCGATGTCTTTCAATGTAGCAGCCATCCCATATGCAATATTGTATTTGCTGCTGTCAGTTTGTCAAGAATTACCGCAACCATCAATGATGACCTACAATTCTACAGATGGACTGTTGATGCTGGCACCTCTAGTGACTGCCTTATGCATTGACTATGAGCTTGTAAATTTTACAGGGTCTATCTTGTTGCATTCTATTTTATATCGAAAGTTGAGAGACATTTCATGTGATTTTTACTGTCACAGGAATACACCAACCATGGAGTGACCCATCTGTAGTGAAATTGGAAAGGTGGTTAACTAACTTGACTAGCTATTTGCCTTAACTCTCTGTGTCGCAAGGAACACATCATACGTTCAAAGGTTCCTACATAGAGACCTAATAAACGCAAGATGCGCCGATTTTACATCTCTTTCGACTACCCCTTGGACCTCTGATGCTAAACCTATTGGGACTCAAAAGAGTTAAATATACATTGAGTTCAATGAGCTT